CTTTATTCTTCGATTTTCGATTTCCATTTATTCTTATTTCACTAACTTGTCTTTGCACAATTGTTCTGAATGTTTCCTGTATTCATTCTGACTGGGACTTCTGGTGGCTGTGCTAGTTTGAAATGCTGTTATTTTGGTGATTTATTTTTCTTCAGGCCCTCACCGTATTATTAAAATCAGACCAACTTATATTTAAACAATTTGCTTCACTAAAATCAATATATTTCTAAAAGTTTTACTCCAAATTCACACCTCATAACATTACTATTTCTTCCATTCAAATGTGTTCTCAATCTGCTATTGCAACTGATTTCCTTTAATAATGGACTTCAAAATGCTTTATCCAGGTTTAGTATAATAAACTAATTATTTGAATTCATAATATAACCTGCAAAATGTAGTTTTAAGTAATTTAATACGGTCATATTGCATGCCAGGCAATTAAAAGACAAAATATCAATATGTAGTTGTGTAGCTCTGTAATTCAGCACGATTAAAACAGATAGATCTTCACACAGAGTAGCTCCCATTAGAGGGATGTTTATCGCTGTGTAACGTTTCAAGCAGCAGGCTCTTCCTCGGACTTCTGATATGTACAGAGAGTCACCATCTTAAATACCCATAATGCATATACAAGCACATGCGACAGACATACCACACCTGTTGCAAATAGTCAATCAAATATTAAATTGTGAGAAAATACATTGTATATTAAACCTATACACAGCTAGTATATCAAGGCGACATATAATATATAAAAAGATGTCTGGACAGATCTGTTTTTTCTCGGCATAATGTGTCACTTGCTCTAAAACCATGACTTTATATACTGTGTGTGTGTGTGTGTGTGTGTGTGTGTGTGTGTGTGTGTGTGGTTCTAATCTGGCAACACTAGACCTGAGAGTGCAAAGGGACATATTCCTAAACATTTGAGGACAGACTCAGGAATGTAACTGATGCTTTGGGACCTCCAAGATGAATCGTGTCACTTGACTTGAATGCAGGGCTTCCTATTTGCCATTTTCCTTTAAAAGTCTGCTCTTGGCAGGTAATGGGGGTAAGGAGAGACGGGCTGAGAAAAAGAGAGAAATGGAAAAAACTCCTCCAGCTGCCTTCAACCTGTAAGGACTTCTTTCGTTATTTATTTTTGGGGCTTTCCCCTCTACAGTCTACTTTTTCAGTGAAGAGTATTGGTTATGTCTGCCAGACTTCTGCATGTTGCAAGTACCTGTAGAGCTGTCACACACACACACACACACACACACACTCCAATGCACAGGAAACGTCTCATCTTTGCTCTGGTATTTGTATTAGCTGGACTCTTAAACAACCTAGTGGGATCCAAATATACGTGAATACATTATTGTCCTCATGTTTTTGTGCTTATCGTCTCTCTTGTGGAGTAACAGAGAAATCATTTATAGTTTAGTTGTTTTTTTTTACCTCAGAACAAATGACAAACATTCCCCCGCTCCCTGGTGAGCAGATATCTGATTGTAGATGCTCACATAAGGTCACAGTCAGCATCAAGCTTCCAAACCTGTCAATCACAGGCTATGCATATGTGGCGGTTTAGTGCAAAAATAATCCCATTAAATCTGCACACAGTTAAAGGATAAGGCTGGTGATATTTTGTATTTTTGTGGGTGTTGACAAATCCCATAAAAAAAAAAATAGGGCCAAACCCAACAATATGTTCTCAAAATCTCTTTCTGACTTCCACAACCTGTCTGTGCCTGTTTTCAGCCCCAAGCCCATTTACTACTGAAGACATGCATCTTTGAAATCCTGTCACAAATATATAGCTGGGCTTTGTCATTTTTAACAAATGTTTCACAAACCGGAGTTAATAGTGCACTTGTATGGGAACATTTTCAGATGTGGATTAAAACACATTTGGTGCTCCAGTGAGTATCATAATGAAGGAGTATGTGACGTGTCTTTAATATCGTTGTACAACAATGGAGCTCTATAGCAGAGAGGAATAATATAAATTAAGCTTTTGATACAGGCACAGTGCTTATTAGTGTGATCAGTTCATTATAGATTTTGGTCTTTTCATGGGAATTCTTGACAGTAAGAAAATATAGAATATACACAAACCTATCCTTTAAGTTAACAGAGTATTGCGATAGCATCTTCCAAAGAGCTGTGTGAGTATACACAGCTTTAGCTTCTGTGATTGAACATTAGCTTTGTCCTGAATCAGAGGATGCCTCCTACAGAGTCTGTATTTCAAAACGGAATACTTCATTGAGCAATGGATCAAGTGGGCTTTACACCGGCAAGAGACATTGTATCTTTTTTTTTATCTGAATTTGGAGACACAACAGGCGATCGAAGTTGATGTGGTGAGCAGTTGCTTGCATCACATGGAGCGGATCAATAAAAGAAGCCGGTGCAGGATGTAAATAATGAAGGACAGGAATGAATACCGCTGTTGGTTTCTTGCTAGAAGCCTGGCCATGTTCTGTACACAGAGAGTGACATGTAGATAAAGGCTCGATATAGTTGAGCTTCAATGTTCACACTTGACCTAGAAAACAGCAGTTTGATTAAAGATCTCTGGTGTCGGATGTGGAGTTCCTCCTCAGTCTTCCCCCAGCCGTCCACTGTCGATGTTGTGAGCGGAATTAGTCTTCATTCTGGTCTTCATTCAGTTTCTCGTCTTCGCTGTTTCACCGGTTGCGATGTGATGTCGTACACCAGTGTGTTATTCCTCTCTCTAGGAGTGTTTTTGTTTTTAGTATGTACCAGCAGAGATGTTATGGTGTTCATATAGATAGCGAATCTAGATACATTTCCTATGAATCTGGCACATCGCATCAAAGTGCAGTTGAGGCCTTGGTTTAACACTGAACGGATAAGTTATTTGAAATTATGATTTTAATATGCTGGCATCAAATCTTTGAATAGAGTCTTAAGTCTCAATTGTGTGTTTTTCAACAAAGGACTACTTCTTTGTATATATCAAATTATAGATATATCTTTTATTTAACTGACGTTGCAAAATTATCTTTGAAAACAGTTTCAGTGTGATAGTATAAAATAACTGGGGAAGAAAACATGTTTTTATATCTGTTGTGTAGAATGTAATGTAGACGCCTTTTCTTTATTGGAGGAATGTTGAGTGTTGGGACTGATGGAGCAAGTGGTTGTATCTATATTATGTTTCTGTGCGTCTGGTTCCCCGATATTAACACAGCACAAACAAAGCCCGCATACGCACAGGGGGGGCAGGATGTTCTTAAATCTGTTGTAACGCAGGTAATCTTAACCAGCCAGTTCACGGTGAGTCTGTTTCTGTGTAAACGCAGCCTCAGCTTATTTTTGTTGGTCTTTAGTTGTTAATAGAAATATTTTGACATGAGAATACAGTTGTTTTTATTTTTGGAGAGTGTTCATTAACATCAGGCAAGAAAATTGAATTTGTAGTCTTGTGTCGTTTAGTTGTGATTATTATTTTTTGTATAGCTGAATCTATACATCTATATCATTTTTCTGTTTTTGTGTAAACAGAGCCGACTATAAGCTTCAGTGCGTTGCCATTGTACCAGTATGTATTCTGCATATTACACAGGGGTGAGACTGGACTTTGTAATTGTGTGTGTGTGTGAGAGAGAGAGAGAGAGAATCACAAAGCTTTGCAATACTGAAGTATCTCTGATTTTCTGACACATATTAATGGCGATAGATAAATCTAGATTTGCCATGCTTCTTCCTTTGTAAACAGTTTCTTGCTTTTCAAGTATGTGGATTTTTTTTTTTCTGACCTGAAATATACTGTAGATTTTGCAAGAATTTTATACACAATGACATTGCTATTATTTTACTGTGAATAAGGTATTTCTAGAACAATTTTAGCATGCGTACTTACAGCTGTAATATATAGAACTATAACTATACGTTATCAGTTGTTGATTATATAATGCGTTTTGGACTGACAGACAAAACACAACTAGCATTGGTTTTATGTATTTATTTCATTGTGTATTTATGGATACTTTTACTTTCCATAATTCATACTTTTGTCTTATTTTTGAAAAATATATAAATATTTATTTTCTGTTGTTTTGAGCAGAAGGAATTGTCTTTTACATTCCTAAATAAAATGTGGACTGCAGCGCAACTTTGTCTTCGTTACAGTCCCTTTGTCTTCTGCCTTTCTGCGAACATTCACAGTAAAAGCCGTCCATTAATGTGAAATACAACTGACCATTTCTGGAAATCATAATAATCTAAGACTGAGTGAGATTTTATGGCGCACGTCGACTGATGGATTTAAGACAGAAAAAAAGCCTGTGCTTAAACCATTTCACATACTCTGACAAAATATACTTTCGTAAATGTTCTGGTATTGGAGGATTACTAAGAAAATAGTAAAAAACCATAGTATGGCATGTCAAAAAAAGTTGTATAGAGTATGTTTAAAAAAAGTCATAGTATAGTATGTCAAAAGTCATAGTAAGTCGAAAAATTCATAAAGACATAGTATAGTGACTATACGACTTTTTTTGACATACCATACTGTTTTATGACTTTTTCCGACACAGTATACTATGACTTTTTCAACACTGTTGAAAAAGTTATGGTTGAGAAATGTTGAAAAAAATAAGTCATAGTATGTTGAAAAATGTTGTAGAAAGCTTTTTAAAAAAAGTCATAGTATATGGAAAAACATTAAAAAAAATCATAGTATATTAGGTCTAAAAAAAGTCCTAATATATTATGTTGACAAAAGCCATAGTACGTCCCAAAAAGTCATACCATAGTATGTCATAAAGGGGCATAGTATAGTATGACAAATGAGGTACAGTATGTCAACGATTCTTAGTAAATTACATCATAAAAATGTCCCAAAAAGTAAAGGTAAATTTTGTAATAGTCAGAAAATAGTCATAGTATAGTCTGTCACAATGTAGAAGAAAAAAGTAATAGTATAGTATTTCATAAAAATGTAATTAAGCACATTATAGTACGTCATATAAAGTTATAGTATATCAAAAAGTCAAAAAAGGCATAGTAAAGTAGGAAGTCAATATTCTGAATTTGGACTGACACAGATGGAACACAACATACATTGATTTTTATTTATTTTTTCATTGTGTATTTATGAATACTTTTACTTTCCACAAGTCATAGTTTCATCTTGTTTTTGAAAAATATATATATTTCTTGTCTATTTTGAGCAGAAGGAATCGTCTCTCACACCCCTAAATAGAATGTGGACCGAAGCCGTCACAGTAAAAGACAAACAGCTACACGAAGAACAACTGGTCGTTTCTTGAAATCACGAAAAAGCTTTTGACTGAATAGGATTTTGCTACTTTTGCCATCTGATTGGATACAAAACAGAAGAAACCCTCTGCTCAAACCACTCCACATACGCACAGACAAAACAGTTTGATAAATGTTCTGGCATATTGGCAGATTAAAAAGAACTTTACAAATAAAATGCACATACATAATCACAACTGTCACTGGAAGAATTAATATGTAACTGAAATAACAAATGAAGATAAAATGCCACGTGCATAGTCAGTGATTCTTCTTCCTTACTTCAAACCTTGTGTACCATCTTAATCCTTCCATTCACAATCAGCAACAATGGCAAGTGGCTCTTTTTTGTGTGTATATATAGCATATAGACATTTCATGAAGCATTAAGGAGAGGAAAGTAAAGAGATACTGCCCTCAAGTGCATCTCACAGGTACTCAGCTTCATTTCTCCCTCCACTAACAAGTTACTAAGTGCTGTATATTTGATTTAGTCGATTAATCAGATGCATATAGTTCTTAATCAAAGATTGTTACATTTAAAGAACCTAACTTGATTCGAGATTATAAACCGAACCACCTCAAACAATCAGAGGACCTTAACACAGTGCAAAGGATGACACCACATGATGTCTATCTATGATTAGAGAGACCAAACTAACAGAAGATGCAACTCAAACAGCATCTTCACAGAGAAAGTATTCTCATTTGTGTCTGGTCGCTTTGGAGGATCCCCTGCTCAAAGTAATTCATCTGTGGATTATTTTCCTCGGTTAATTGGTCTATAAAATGTCTGAAAATGTTGAAACATGCCCGTCACAGCTTCCAAAAATCTGAAGCGTGAGGTCTACAAATTGCTCGTTTAGTACGAGCGACAGTCTAAAACTGAGAAAAGCAGAAATATCTCATAATTGGGAGGCTAGAACCAATGTTTAGCATTTTACCGAGACCTAATGACAGAAACACAGTGAAAAGGGACATGGCTCACTGGTTGCTGGCTGTGATTAAAAGCTGGTTCTTAGTGACAGCATCTGCACATCATGAACAGAAAATCTATCACGGACCACTCCACGGCTAAAAGAAATACAAATCAGGTCAGTTTCTCCCAAAGTGGAGTCCATGAGACAAGCAGCCGACATCTTCAGCATCTGTATTAATGCAGATGTATCCATCCATCCAAGAAATTATCAACATGATTCATCAGTAATCCACTCCGTGTCCGTCACAAAGAGGACCGGCATACAACCGTGTGTAAGCAGGCTTTAAACAGTCCTTTCTCTGCTCTCCATCTGTCGAGCGATTATCAACCTCACATGATCATAAAGGCCTTTGGCGCAAATTATAAGGGTGGCCAGTCCACGCGAGGCTGACATTTCTGGCAATGCAGGGAGTTAAATCTCTTAGATACACTTGGAAGTCCATTGTAGGTTATACAGTCACATTAAGCATGGGCTAAGGTCACAAGATTTACTTGTTTCATACAAGTTTGGTAAACATAAAAAACATCAAAAAATGATGGCAGATTAAAATGACAGGATTAAACGTCTTTTCATGGCTGTGGAAGGTGTGTGTATATATGCGAGTATGAAGGAGCGATGCTTTGTGTCCCTCAGTTACAATGACGCTCCACAAGCAGATACTGATCTGGAGTCGGTTTTTGCGGTTCACATCTGGTGCCGAGTCCGCAAGCAAAAGTCCTTCCCAGAGGCCCGAACAGTGCGAGAGAAGTTTAAAGGTTGTTTTGTGTTTGGAACAGTTGCTGCATTTTTGTCAGCTCCTCCACCAGGCATTTGAATGTGATTCTCAGCTCGGGCGTGTTCTCCCAGCACCTGCGCATCAGCTCGTACACCTGTTGACCATGAATCGCGTTAGACAACAGGTGGAAGAAGTATGTCAAAGGAATACACTGCATTTGTAACATGTGTTGCCTGCAGTGTTAATACTGCAGCAGCTTTCAATTTCTTTGTCTGTGATCAAAGGTAATATACGAGGTGTTTTGCATGTAATAATGTTAAACATTTTTAAAGTAGGAGTGTACACTTTTGACCCCAAATTTCAATGTGCTGCGTTAAGCTCCCCGTTATTACATCTATATGAAGATTATTGTGGCCAAAAATGTATGTAACCGATGTCAAAAACACTGATTTTATCAGAAAAAACTGTAATGTGGCAGGTATACCTTATACACTTAATATGGTCAATATACTATAAAGTATACTTTAAGTCTTCATGTACTCTTAAGACTGCAAAACCACTGTAGGATTGCCAGTAATATTTCACGTACACTCCGAAGATCATCAGTATTTTAAGATCGACTTGAAACATGAAATTGTAAATCTTGTGTCATTCAGGGTCTTATAGAAATGATTGTGTCACACAGTATCTTCAGCTGTTCTTACTGAAACACCTGATGGTGCTGATGCCTGCTTATCAAGCAAACCCAAATAAAAAAGCAATTGTGCAGGAGGATGAATATTTATAAAGATGCCGTATCGAAGTTTTCTGAACTTTGTTAACTGTCAGTTATAGCAATCAATCACCTACTTCACCGAAAGGATCGGTCAGGTAAACCAACCCATTACCACCAGGTTCACTGCTGCCCGAGTTTCTAGTAAGAGATGCTCCTGTTGAGTTTTCTAAATAAAATACACCTCAAACCAAAACTATGTGTATGTCTAAATATCACTAGAGGTAAATGAGAACATGCTTTTTGTTTTATAGAAGCGGTTACTCGTTCTTCAATCTGTTGCTCCAGACTGACGGACAAAACTTGAAATAATTACTTCAGAAAACATCTAAAAGAAAGCAGTGTCCATGTTGTTATTGTGTTGTGTTGTTGATGAGAAGACTTACAGGCTCAGGACAGCCCTCGGGACGTGGCAACCTTCTTCCTTCTGTCAACGCCTTCACCAATCTGATGATCGTCATCTGACCCTGAGTTTTACCAATCATACTGATGAAGAGCTGTGCGGGTGAAGACAAGGAAGGGTTGAAAAAAAGAAACGACATTTAATAATGTTCAATACTGGCTCTATTATTCAGGTGCGAAACATGACAATAAAAGCCAGAAAAAAAGGGCTAAAGACTGATACAAAGTCACTCGGTCCCTGTGGTCCAAATCGAGTAGCTTTTACTGCTTAGCTTCTTTCATATCAGGCCCTTTTAACTCGTATCCTTTTTAACACTGACTTGGCTTTATTACTAATTGGTCAATCAGTATAACTGTGGCAAAAGGTTTTCATGATAAACGAAGCTCTTAGCGTAGCCACAGGCAGCCCATAGTGGAGTCTGTCATCTGCCATTTCCTCCAAAGACTGACACCATCTGCTTCATACAAATCTCTCTGTGTGTGTGTGTGTCTCTCTCTAATGCTATGATAAATACATTTCTTTATCTCTGCAACACCAGTACAATATGTGTGTTATGCGTTTAATCATCCAAACTTCCAAAAGTACCCAGCAAGCATTAGAAGCGTTCATTAAAAGCGTGTGTAAGAGTGAACATAAGAATGAGGGCGCTGCATACTGACCGGCATCGGGCTCTTGGAGGACTCGCAGTAGGTGATGAGCTCATACATCGTCACCCCAAAGGACCAAACATCTGAGGCAAGGTAGAACTTGCAGTGAGTCAGACACTCTGGCGCATACCTTCAAAAAAAATAAATACAACTGAGTGTAAGAGCATGAATACTTGTTGGTGAACATGCTTATTACCCTGTTGGACAATCGGCAGTAACGGTATATTGTTACTTAAATATAACGCATTAATACGTATTTCACACCTTTAAAGAAAAAGGCTCCCTTACAAATGTAATTCTACAAAGGGAACCATACACGGCTCATGAAAACGTCACAGCATAGTCTGTCATAAAAATGACTAGCTCACCAGAAAACAGGGCTGTCGTTTTCGTCTTTGACCGTGTAGTATCCCTCGTTTTCCTTGATACTTTTGGTGAGGCCGAAATCTCCGATCTTCACCGTCCTCTCGTTTTCCACCAGGACATTTCGGGCAGCCAGGTCTCGGTGAATGTAACTTCGGGATCCCAGATAGTCCATTCCCTGAAAAAACAGAAAAGAAATTGAAACACTTGATACACTGCCAATGTAACCTCTTTTCTGAGGTGTTTTTGGCATATATGCAATATATATATTTAACAGTAACCATTTGAAGTCTTTGTCAATTGTATCTGTTCATACCCTATCAAATCACAGTTTTGAAAGGCACTTTGTAACCATTATCTAAACAGGAAGGGTTGAAACATTTCAAACAGTTGGTGTGCTGGGTTAACCATCTTCATTAACTACATAACGGTCACTGATGGTACCGGCTGGTCCGAGGTAAGAAGCTGTGGTACCTTGCATATCTGGATAGAGTAGCTGAGCAAGGTGCTGAGGCTGGTCTTTGCTTTGTTTCTGGGTAGATACTCCTTCAAACTGCCCAGTGGAAGGTACTCCATGATCAGCTTAATGGCCTGACCACCTACAAACAGTATTCGAAATAAATGCAATCAGAGGCAGATACAAATAGAATAGAAGAGACAACAAATGCAACAAATGAAGTTCTATTTGTCTGAAACTGAATATACAAATGAATAATGTTCGTGTTCATTTTTGTGGATGCACTCTTTCCATCTTACCTTCCTCTTGGCAGATGCCCTTGTATTTGACAATGTTTTCATGGTAGAGTGCCTTCAGGATGTCGATCTCACGCGAGAGGTTGTTGCTCTGCTCCTCCCGGTTCTCAGGCTTTAGGGATTTCACCGCCACCAGTTCACCCGTTTTATCTCCCCGAGGATCATAGCGACACAGCTCCACCTTTCCAAAGTGGCCCTGCATGAGGAACGTGGGAAGAAATGGAAGTTACTCGGATGTTTATAGACAAGCACCAGCCTACTTCCTGTGTGTGGGACCAGTTGTTTCTCATCATTGCACATAGTCCTCGGGTTCTGCATCTGCTCTTGCATATAGCATGGACAGATAGATAGTATTACACGTTTTAGGTTATGAAGGATCACAAGAATGATTATACTCCAGATGGTTTTTAATAGCAGTAAGATGATGTGGACTGTAAAAAAAAGCCCATAAATACCAAACTACTACCAAGTAATTATAGATTTAATGCTAAATATTCACCTGCATGTAATGCATGTAAACTAAATGGCCAAGTTTAGAAAATTGTCAGTTTGATCATTCTTATGGATAGTAAAATCAGCTATACAGATAGACCAACGTAAATAAATCAGGAGCAGGTCACCTCTCCCAGGTCTCTGATCTTCTTCAGGAATCTCTTTTCAAACATAGTCGGGTCCACCTCTGGTGTCGGCTGGGGTTTGATAGAGGGGTCTGGAAGATGGAAAAATAAACATTTACATTAAACACGCCTGGTATAAAACTCGTCTTTTATTCAACATAAGCACACTTGCATCATAGGAAGTCTATTGTGGTTGACAGTGCCAACGTTTTCACCAGAATTGTCTGTGGTTATGTAACCGTTTGCGTGCCTGGTTTAAACAGAAACGGCTACTCTTAGTAGGAAATAATGACTCAACCTAGACTGGTACTGAATTACCATCAATAATAACTATATATAGTTTATTTAATAAAAACTGTTTTTTCAATGTATTTTTAAACGTTTTTAGGAGACATTTATTGTAGATTGATATCCTAGTTGAGTGATTGTGTTGCTGTCTTGGGACTTTGATATAAGGTCAATAAGGTAATTAGCTCTAAGCTTTGGTAAGACTGACTGCAGTATCCAATTCTGGGCAGCAGGTGGAAGAACAGAGTCTACTATGTTGCCATGGGGCCCAGCTGAGGGGGCCGATCAGTGATAATGCACCCAGTGAACTTCCTCATGAACATCTGAGTTGAGTAAACAACTCTCTCTGTCTCTCTCTTTAAACAGCTTACTGGGTTGCTGCTAGACGAGATAAAAAACATGCAAAACATTCAAAACATTCAGAAACATATCATATTCAAACTGTAGATAACAGCTTTGAATTCTATTCAGGTCCAACACAATTTGGAAACACAAGAAAACTGCTTACATGCAGAAACAAAATAAAGATAATATTTGCACCCACCCCTCTTTATGAAAATAACAAACATTGTATAGTGTGCAGAGCACACAAAACCCTCATACATACTCTTTTCCTCCAGCATGTCTATGTCTCTGACGATAGCCCTGAAGAAAGGCCTCTTCTTGGGGTCGTAGGTCATGCAGTGGGTCATCAGTTCAGCCAGCTCTCTGCAGTCTGGGGTGGCCAGTTGGCACTCAGTCTCATAAAACCTCTCCCTCTGCTCAGCACAAAGACATATGAATGAGGAGGTGCATAAAAAACACGCAATGTGATGATCGATGTGTGACAGAGGAGGTGAAAGAAAGTAGGAAATATTAAAAAATGTGGGATTGCAATCAGATTTGAAATAAAAGATTTCTTTAGATGTATGTATGATTGTATACATCGTCATACTACATTTTGGTGTGTGCCCTGTACCTCTGTGAGTTTCTTGTCTTTAAGGGGGACCTCTCCATTGTAGCAGATCTCCCACAGGGTGGTACCAAAGCCCCACTTGTCAGCTGCGACGCTTAGGGAGGACACGCTCTTCACACACTCCGGAGCGATCCACGGGATACGATGCACACACTCTGCAGAGACAAAAAAAGCCCAGGTTAGCAACAGTGGATCAATTACCGGTGGGTACAAATTTGTTGGCGTCTCCGTAAAAAAACAGAAGATGGTTGTTAGAGATGCGTAGTATTTGTCCTTTAAGATGTGAGAATGAGAACGCTTCCTCAGATACAACCATGTGTGATTTATTGACTTAATCTTTTTAAGAAGTGAAGAAAACATTTACTCATTGACCCTCTTACACAAAAACGCCTTCAACAGACCGAAAGATCATAATAACTGACTAAGTACATTTTAACCATGTTCACCCTGTCATCAAGATGTAACATATTTCTCCTAATTTTGTTATTTCACTTTATATACAGCATCATCTATAAAGGGTCCGTCTCCCCTCGAAAAAGAATACTTCCTATGTTGCTCTTTTTCGTCAAAGGGTTTTTGTGTAGTTTTTCCATATCTCTGCTTCATCCACATCATTGGTCTCAGGATAATGAGTAATGTATGTTATTGACCCTATATATGATCACTTTGACCAAACGCTAACTAAATATTTATGCTTAAAACTAAAAACACTGTTTGGAAGTAATTGTTAGAGCATGATCTCATGGATCTGAGTCAACATACGCTCACCATGCTACAATACCAGGAACTATGAAATCCAGTCCAGCTCTGACAGGCTGACGGGGCGGCTATCTGGCTTCATCCACTGAATCTAAAAAGCCTTGGCTTCGGGTGGCTGAAATATAGTCTGACTGGAAGACAGGCTAACTGATTGGCTGACCTCCGCGACTGGCTTTTCGGCTGCACAAATCCATAACATCAACTCAGGAGTGTGTGTTAGTGAGTGCATGCATCTCAGACTGGAACACAGGACTGACTGGAGGGAAAGAGGAGGAGGAGGAGGAGGAGGAGTAAAGAAGAGAAGAAGCAGTGGAGGGGCTGAATGGAGTGAAGGGGGAAGATGGAGAAAAAAATGGCAGCAGGGATGGATAACTGAGAGAAAAAAGAAAGACAGTAATGAATGGATATGAGAGCAATCAGAGCTTGCTGGGAAGAAGGGAAGAGCACTCCCAGTGGGTTTCTCAGCACTTTACCCACTATGTGTTCAATCAAATCTATACACAAGGACATCAATGTGTAACTGGAAGAACTGTTGTTCTGCAAAGTGATGAAATGTTAAGATTTCTGGGAACAATAAGGGAGGGAGGAGCATTCCCAGGGGCGTGCTGCGATGGACATTTCCAGAGAAACATTTCCAGTGTGTCCAGTGGTTTGCAGATCCATCCGTGCAGCCACACTGTGTTTCATATCCCATAACTTCCAGCTCTTATAGATGAACAGAAACATGAGGCGGCCATTTGAGGGGAACTGTGCAATCTGAGAAATGTCCTTATTATTGTGCCATTTTCCCCTCAACCCAGATATAGCTTTTACAAAACAAATTACAGTCCGAGAGGGAATGTGTATTGATTATGTGACAAATGTGAGTCCTATTGCTGATAACCTGAAATCCAACAGGGCAGTGTGAAAAAGAAGAAGCTACCATCATTATCATTATCATCATCATCGTCGTCATTAGACTCTCAGCTTGGCCAACAAGCTTCACAGTGTTCCTGTTTGCATAACGTTTACATGCAGTTGTGGCATTTTATGTGTTCTCATTTTGGTTTCAGTGTCATTTACAGCTGACTGGGAGACAAAGAGGAAGTTATTGTGAAATTTTCCATGGTAGCTATTTTGTAACCATTTAGGTTTCACATTTAGTAACCCAGAGGAGAGAGAGGGCGTGAGCGAGAAAGAGAGTTTATGAGTTTACTTTGTACTCACCCTCTCTGGTGAGTACTGTGATTGGTATTCCTGGGTCGCTGAGCTTGATGAAGGGCCCTCCTTTATCTGTGTCCAGCCCATCTCTGGCAAGCAGGATGTTTTTGGCACACACAAAGCCATGGACCAGCTTTTTGTCCTCCTACACACACACACACACACACACGCACACAAATCTATTAGTCCAAAAACAAGTGGGCAAATCTAAATATTTTGTTGAGAAAATTGGATCTAATATGGTGCAGGTAATCCCGAGGATGCATACAACACTCGCATGCTTACATTCCTACAGTTTGTGAGTATGTGTGTTTTTCCTGTCTCACCAAGTAGCTGAGAGCTGAGGCCAGCTGCTTGGCCACCTGGAACTTCCACAGTGTGCCAAGTGGGCTCTGCTGTCTCCTCATAAATAAGTCCAGTGGTCCGGGCTGGACAAACTCTTCCACCATGATATCTGTTCCACACAGACACAAAGAGACAAAAAGGTGTATGAAACAACCCAACACTCTCATGAACATGCACACAGTTCTTAAAATGCACTTACTCTCCTGGTGACGAACACACACTCCATACAGCAGCACTATGTGTTTATGAGACACTTGTCGCATCATGCTGGCTGTTTCGAAGAAGGCCTGTCAACAAAAGACAAAGATGACTCAATTGCAAAGCACATTACAGAAATGTTTCCGGTCTGGGAAGATTTAGAAGCAGCTTGCTGCTAATAAGTAATACGTTTCAGTATGGTTTGATGTTACAGAATGGGTGTAGTCCTCATAAGAACAGGATGTGCATGATATGGGATTGTGTCTCACCAGGGAGATGTCCCTGTGTCCAGAGCCCAGCACCTTCAGGACCACTTTGACCTCCTGGAAGGATGAGTAACCTGCATCCTCCTCCTCCTCATTCTTCACCCTCAGTGTGCCTGAGAAGATGTTGGTTCTTGTGCCCAGTCCAAGGTGCTCCTCCTGGTTAACGAAACAGGGAAAAATAGTTACATACAGTATATTAAACTACTACAAGAACAGAGCTTCCGAAACTTCTGTTAAATACATTCAGCTGTTTGTGTGTGTGACTAAACTGTGGTATGTTTCGAGGCTGTACTTTATTGTATTATATTAAAGGCGTTTTTCTCTTTTTTAACGGATTTCTTTTACCGAGGGTCACATAAAAGGATTTTCTAATAATTTGTCACCCTTATTTACATAATGTAACATGCGGCACACTGTACATTACCATCATATCATTGGGGCCAGACATGAAGATGAGAGGCTTTACCTGTTCAATCTCTTCCTTGAGAATGCGATGGAAGCTGAGCTGACTCTCCTGCATGGGTGTCTGAGGGGCCGGTGCTCTATCTTTAGTGACCACCAGCAGGTTAGAAACCTCTGCAACACAAACACACACACACATTTAAAGGGCCATACCAGGGTTTTTGCATGACGTTTTGCATTCTACAAAGCATGTATTTCATAAAGACATTTTCAAAAGACTGATAGTGTTTTAGATTCTTCTTTGTTCAAATCAAGCTGCAGAGACTTGACAATTGTTTGTGTTTGATAATCCCTCAACAGGAATGTCATGTCTGCTTCTGTTGCTGTCAAGGCCATGTTATTGTAACACTGTCGAAGAGTTTGGATTGATTTGAATAGTCTGCACTGCATTCACTCAACAACCAGAAAGAGATAAATAACTACGTCTATTTGGCAATGATGTGGACAGCTATCCAGGTTGGGTTGCCAAACTGATTCAGGTTATTCTTGTATGTACAGAGCTTTGTGTGGGAGGATAAAGTTCTTTGTGCTGGTTACCATACTATACGTGCTTGCGCGTCTGCATGCATGTGTCTGTGGGTGTCTAATGTTGTGACAAAACCAGCACACTGTGGTTTATGGGAGGGAGGGAGGGAGGGAGAGAGAGAGAGAGAGAGAGAGAGAGAGAGAGAGAGAGAGAGAGAGAGAGATAATCTTCACTCAATCAGCATCACCCTACATTCACCATCTGTAAAATGCAATCTGAGTTTTTATGCCAAACCCAAATACAACATGCACCCACGTATTACACTGCACCCACTCCTTAACCCTTTGAACTTATCATAGAGTCTAACACTTCAGCTGCGCACAATTTCTCAAACCATGTGGTCCTTTTCTCCCCCATCTGCCAATAAATACTTATATTGTTTTCATAACAGTTAAAAATAATGCATAGACCAAAAACAATAAGTAAAAATAAATGGTTAGTATCGTATTCTCAGTATGTTGGGATACCAGTGTTTTACTATCGTAACAAGAAGGTTGTATAACTCATCATAAATATCTCAGCAGTGAAAACAACACAGCACTTCAGTCTCATAGTCAAGCTTTATGATAATAATACAAACCACACAGCCTCAACGAACATAAACAGCTCAACACATCCATGCACACATGCACACATGGCTCCACCTTTTCCTGAGTGAAGTAAATACAAGAGTGCTAGTTTAGCTCCGGAAACCCACATTTACAACTTTCTTCCTCCCTGACACTATTTCACACAGACACACACATTGTTTATGCCAGCTTCAGTCAGTTACCCTCTGTTAGCAAAGAACACAACCACACACACACACACACACACACACTCTGTAAAGGGAAATTCCACTCTAAATCTTGTATGGAGGGAAAGCTTTGCTCCACGAACTACTGTGGGTTGAGAGGTTCATGTCTGTCAAACTTCTGACCTTGCCCAACATCACAGGTGTGGTCTGTTGTACGTGTTACCACACCCGGCTGTGATGTAGCGTTACACAAAACAGTGCATAGAGATACTGCACAGTGTGTGAACTTAGGATGCTGAGATTGCTAGCTGCAGGATTTCAGTCTGCTGTAGCAGAAATCTGTGGACACTGCAGACTGGAAAGAAATGCGTTTTCTTTTTTTAAATGCATTTGTTGTTGCGTCTTGCAATGAGGACCTTAGAGTCAAAGTATCAATTAACCTTTGCCAAGATGAGGGGAAATTATTTGAGGAATATTTCCTTCTCACAACCATCATAATAGACAGATTCCTCATATATAATAAATCAAGGGTGCACGTGCTGCAGGAAGGACAGGAAACATGCTGCCACACTGTCCTGATAGCTTTTATATGGACATATTAAGTATTCATGAATGAAGCGACTTGCTATTAATTAGTCAAATTACTCGAAAGTGCACTCGTCCTCGCATATCTACATTTTTTTTTACTGCGTGTCTGATGTAACATTGGAATATATGAAATTCTTGCTGTTATTATCATCATAGGTTCTCATTCATTCTGGCTTATTTTTCATTCCCTCATGTGCACACATCTCACCAATACTTTATCACATCTATCACACTATTTACCACAAACACTTAAAATAGCTTTTTACTGACAACTTGAAGTCATATGAACCGTTTTCTCCTTTGATTAAACAATGGTCTTTCACTCTCCATGTTAGTCGTTAACACTTCAGACATACTGATTTCTCTTAGTCTTATTTTCTATAAACTCCATTATTGCTGTTGCTCTGTAGTATCCTGTAATATGTGCATTGTAAATTGTTTGATAGATTTATATTTGAAACACAACTCGGCTTTTTTACAATTTTGTTTTTATGTTGTTGGTATAGTGTTGGTTTTTACAGACCTTTTATTTGTATTTAGGTATTTTTATATAATGAAGGTCTGTGCTGAGCCTTTTCTTCCACAGTGAATTTGTAGTACTGTAGCGGGATTAAGTTTACCTCTGGGCTGTGGAGGGCAGCAGCGCATCAACTGGAACTGGAGGTTGTCGGTGCGAAGGCTTTGGCCTTCCAGGTGCTCCAGCAGTTCAACGAGAGTGGCCCGAAACGTCTCAGTGCCGTACAGGCGGAACCCATTGGAGGCCACCTCAATCTGGAAGTTCTTATACTGACGCACAGGACGAGACTCACTCAGGTCGTTCTGGATAGATATAGATATAGATATAGATATAGATATAGATATAGATATAGAGAGAGAGAGAGAGAGAGAGAGAGAGAGAGAGAGAGAGAGAGAGAGAGAGAGAGAGTATTTTAACTGGAACATGACAAAATGACAAACATGGTACTGGAGGAGAGGTCAAATGAGCAAGAGAAGTAAAGAAGACAATTTTAGATTAGATTATATTTTTAGAAATCATATCTATACAGTTTGCTTCTATTTCTTTATCTGAAAAGGTTTCTATAGTTCTGTTGAAGCTACGCAGACACATGCAAACACCACAAACATGTTATTCAGTCCTAATGTAAATTGTAACATGAACAGTGGCTAAGATTACCGAGTGGGTCAGCTTTCTGAATGTGTGTTTGTGTGTACGTTTCCTCCCATACTGACTCATAAAAGTGAAGTGCACTGTTAGCAACCTGTCATAATCCAAGCATCCTGTAATCCAATACAAAACAAGCAGACTTTATTTGGTTTGGTGTTTCAGAGTGTGTGTATGCGTGTGTCATGCCCTCTGATTGGCTGAATAACTGACCTTTCAAGTACATCACTGGCATGCTAGACATTACCGTAGACTATGAAGACATGGACAGATTGCAGTTTCCTAAAACCTAATGAATAAGTCTACACTACCTCATTGCAGACGACAGTGATGATGATGTACTCGTATTCAGTGCAGCTCCAGCGCAGGATGTAGGTGCCCTCCTCATTGCCTTCCTGACGCAGCTTGTGGATGGCATACTCCGTGCTAGGGAGGAGAAAGCGCAATGAATGGGGGCAGTAATAATGCCATCACTTTCCTGTGTGCGTGCGTCAGTGAGTGAGTGTGCACCTCTCCATCTGTCCACGGCTAATCTTGCTGCAGCAAACTGCATAATTAGCGGGTTATGGCTGCATTCTCAAGGACCTCTCGGGGTTCACACTTTCTCAAAAAAAACTTTCATTGCCTGTGTTATACTGCCATTGACTGCCTGCTGACTCCTCAATCACTACTCTTAATGTACTCCGACTTTAAAATGCAGTGTGTGATCCCTGTGCAGGTAGGAGGCTATAAGTTATGGGCAGATGCAAATTAAGGTCAGTAACCGATAGTTTATGATAAATATGTGTAATAATATTGCCCGTGTCCATTAAAGCGTGGTTTATGCTTGCCGTAGTGAAGTCGGCGGGAAGTGCGAGCGCCAGAAAATCACTTTATTACTGCTTGCACACCGAGCAAGGGCTCCCCATGCTCTGACAGGGCTTGGCGTGCACCTCTGAATTTTTGTAACAAAACGCCCACTTCACGCTCTGGGCTTTTCAGACATGACTGTCACGAATAGTTTAATGATAAAAGCACTACTAACATGCCTCAGGATTTTACAAAGATGGACAATTAGTTTTTAAATACTTTAGAAACAGGAGTCTTAAAATCTACATTTGAGTAAATATTTTGCCAGCCAAATAAAATTGCTTACTGGATATTCAAGCATTGAATGTATTACAATGAAACGTGTAATACAAACATGTAATATTCTTTACAGGGATTGCATAAAGGCGATAAAGTATGTACATGAATATGAGTTTGGAGATTATTACAATTCCTCCTCTGCATTGAGGAGGTTGGTTTGTGCCGTTTTTGATGGTAACACGTGTTGCGTTCTTGCTTCTTGACAGTATTACATTTAGTTTTTATGGCCGCTGTCATATCGGATAATACTGCAACAAATGCCTTTTTACTCTGAGCTTTCCCGCCATCTGTGGTCTCTCGCACGAGTATAAACTGTGTATTTTTGAGGAAACAGGCACATGCGTACTATATACACATTTACACCAATAAAACTGCCAGTACAAACCAGATGGGTCCGTGGCAGCCGTTGTTGATGCTGTGCACCACTGAAGCAGGGGCCACCTCCTTGCACAGGAAGTGGTGGGCATCCACCGTCAGCCTGAAGTAGCCATCCACGAGAGCTGCGAAGGACAGAGCCTCAGCCCTAGTCGTCATATGCAACTCCTGAAAAGAGAAGAGACGAGGAGAGAGAAGAGGTGACGATCACAACAGGAGCTATTATAAAGCCACAATACTCCAGAGGGCTAGCTAAAAGAGCGGTGATGTATTATAAATGAAAGAATCCATCTTAATGATGATGCATTATATCACCATTAGTCAAGGCTAATAGCATGTAGCGAGAGGCAGGCTCTGCTTCAACAAATGTTGCACAAAGGGTGCTTTCACACCTGTAGCTCGGTTCATTTGGTCAGGACCAAGGGAAGACATGATACATTGTTACAAGTTAGTTCTGGTTTGGTTACTGTTCACATGTACTTTTTTTACAAATGAACCTCTGATGTAAATAAGAAGTTATACACACTGACGGGTAACTCGATGGACACAGTGCTCGTTGGCCTCACCATTCTCTTGTTGTCCTGTCTATAGATGGTGACCGTTGCCTCTTTGATGACAGCGTGTGTGATCTCATGGTAGTCACAGAACACCACCCAGCCTTCATTCGCTTCGATGTTTTTGTCATTTTTCTGTTTTCCATCCAACTTGTTCTTCTTTGACTTGCCCTTTTCTTTGCTGATCCCAGTTGACTATTTTAAAAGATATACAAACAAAATGTACACACACACAATTTATGAAAGAAAAAAAAAAACAGTATTTTTCAAATAATATAAAAATATTGTCATTTGAAAATACTGCAATGACCATTGCAAGGTTGTTTATCACATTTATACTCCACATCTCAAGCACTAATTAAGAAATACTGTAACAAAATAAAGACAATTGTACTGCTCTTCTCAAGTTACTCATTATTGTGGCCGTCATAATCACAATAATAGGAAATGTGTCCACTACGCCGTCTCATTACTCGAGTTGTTTTGTTGAACTCATTTACGTTCTGTGTGCATAGAAAATAATATCATAAACCTTCACTCGCTCCCTTTGTTGTTTGGAAACAATTAGCAAACAAGCACTAAACCATAAAAAGCAAGCACTAGTTCACTTTCTTTTCTGTAAAATATTAATATTATAAGACTATAAGGACTTGGAATTTCTGACTTGAATTAATGACTTTGTATTGAGTTTAAAATACTTTACATGTTGTGAGTAATTTATTTTGAATGCTCCTAAACTTTCTTTGATATCAGTATTGTGCTGACTGCATTCATTTTTACCTTAATCATAATTTTTCATAGAGGAAACTTTTCTTTTGTAGCTACTCAACAAGGAGATAATAATATTTTAATATACAATATTTTATATTTAAACAGAATTGTATTGTTTTTCACCAGAAGCAATAGTTATACAATTTGCCATCATATCAATAGCACATAGAAAAAAATGGATAATAAAATAAGACGAAGAATAGTAAAATGATAGTTTCCTTATAGGATGTTTGACAGTTGTTTGTAACTGCCAGTTTATCTGAAACTAGTGAAACTAGGGGTCATCTTTTCTTTAACACACACAGTTTTACTCACTGTAGCAGGCTTCTTCCTCCAGGAAATGCCAGCGGTGCCAGTAACCAGGACATGCATGTCATGACTGGTCTTCATGTTCTGACTCTGGGTCTGCTCTTGGCTCTGGTTACTGTAGCCTAGAAACAGCAAGCAAACATAGCAGCAAAATATAAAAATGCAGCAGCTTTAGGACAAAAGGACTATAGACAAATCGATCATTGGAAAAATATTTATACGTTAGTTAATTGGTTTCTCAATATTGTTCTTGGAAAATCTTTAGGAAAATTATGCAGAGACAAGTAACGCCAGGGAAATGTCTGAGTGGCTACTGGATGTTTACTCTGATCCTCAGCAGGCTGCTCAAACCATCAGTGCTGCATCTGTGTCGTCACACATCGGTTGAAAACATCCAGGGTATGGCCTACTCTGTGATAAGTGGGTTAATGTGACATGTAAACATCTTGTTCCTTTCACTTTTGGTTTTCACCATCTGCACAAACACCCACAATGTTTTAGGTATATTTGGATGTCAAAAAAGTTTTTTTAGAAATCCAATACAGCTGATTTAACTATTGCAAAAGGGCTATAAAAACAGTTTTGTGCTAGCTAGCAACTATATTTTTTTCTCATCATGCTTAATAATAATGATCAATTCAGCAATCCTTCTCTCTCTTAAGACAGTTTTCCTCTACTGTTATTACATCAACTACCACGAGGATTATACTGGTAGAAAAAAAAAAGATATTTCTTCATCATCTATAATCTCCTGTAATTCTAGTAAAACCACATCTCAAACAAAAACCACACTGAGCTGTTACACGCCACAAATCTGGCACATTGCCCGAGAACTAAATCATAGAAATAACCCCTCGTAATCTTCCAGAATTCTTACCATAGTAGCCGCCGTTGCAGAGATCTCCGTCCTGCGTTACACTGAGCGAGATGGGCTCAAACATCTCGCTGCCCAGGCCGCTGGTCAGGCCCTCCAGAGTGGCCAGGTACTTGATCTTCAGGTCGTACGCCGTGATTTTGCTGTCCTTCATTGTGCGGCGGTTGAATTCACTGAGGAATTTCTTAAAGACGTTGTTGATGCGGATGCGTGTCAGGAAGTTGCGCTGCTTAATGTTGCGGTTCAGTGACTCTGGGATGAAACGTTTGTAGCTGGTGGGATTAAGATAGAAAGATCGATTTATCAACAATTCCTCTCAGTATTTACGTCCTATGCTTTGTGCAAGTGTTCTGAAGGAAAAAAAAAAATAGTCTGACTTCTCAGAACTTGTGCACGTGGCCTGAGCACTTATCTGACATGGGACCAGGGTAGGAAATTTACATATTTTTTTGGGGGCAACTTTTGCCCCCACTGACTGAAATCCAGGGGCATTTTCAAAAAATTGGGGGCACTTTTTGAAACCTGTGAAATAACATTTAACCTTTGTTCAAAATAATAAATATACTTATTTAGGCTTACAGTATATGAGCAATTGTCATCAAATGGCAATAATAAGACTATTAGGCAGTAGTCTACAGATTCAAAGTGTTTTCTTAGATTTTTTTTAACAAAAAACAAACATAAATCAGACAATCATATTCAATTTCATTCTTATTTCTTTGTGGTTATTTATTGTTGTTATTAAATGTTTTAAACAACTATTAACAATTATTAAGTCAACGATGCCTTGATTACATATACATCAGTCATTGTATGGAATTATTGAGAAAAACATTTTTATAGCACCTTAAAATTTTTAAAAATGTGCCATTTGAAGGTACAAATTCAGTTCAGAGTTTTTGCTTAGTAAAATATCTTAATTGACTGAGTCAGGTATTATTCATTTCCAGCAACCCTCAAATCAAAGAATAAAGACACTTTACGCACAATTTAGGCATATTTTACTTTTAACTCACGAGATGCAGGTAGCATGTTTTATACTTAATGTGAATATAATTCATTTAATCTGATTTCCATTATGCAATATGTATACTTTGTTGGCATCTTATTCTGAAAACCGGATGTTCGTCTGAAGAAACCGGATGTTGTCTCACGTTAATCTTTCCGTTAACTTTCAAAGTCCTTCGCTCGCTCCCGATCTGCGCCGTTTGAATGAGTTTACCGTGAATTTCAGGATATAGGTGCACTACAATTTAAGTGTCTGCTGAGTTGACCGCAGTCTCAGGTCTGATTAAGAAGTGCTCCATTTTTTTAATTCGTTTAGAAAGTTCGGGGGCATTTTTTGCTCCTCTCCTAGTGATATCAGGGGCAAAATGATATTCCAAGGACACTTGGAAGAAGCAAGTACATTTCATATACATTTGCAGGATGTCATTGGAAGTGTGCGGCCACTATCATTCTTAAATATTATTTTAACATCTTAATCAAAAGTCTGCTGAAGTAGCACCATCCCAACCTTGTTAGGAAATCAAATGTTTTACCTGATTTCATGGGGAGCAGTGGGAAGGGTCACGACTATGTTTGTGGTATAGTGAGAGATAGCAAGCACAGCCATGCCCAAACACTCATTTTCTATCTCGTGTTGCTCTGTCTCTGAGTGGGACACCCGCAGTGGAATCACACCTGTCTGAAAGTCATGCTGGCCCTGTGCAACAAACATAGAAATATATATGTTAAAAAACAACAAAAACACACACATATAGAGACACACCAAATGCATATACACATAAAAAGAACTCCATTGGAAAATGACTGTGTGATTTGGCTCTTTAAGTGGCACTAAAATCTTGTCAAGATGACGAAATGAAGAGGGAGACTGATTAGTTTACAGGAAATTCAGAGGGATGTCTTTTCTTTTGAGACAACTGACAATTCAATGAAGTTGTATTTCAAGTTTGGAAACATTAACTCTTTCTGAGTAACAGCTTCTTCCTTTCCTTTTATATTTCAATTGATCAAAAGAATTGTGTTTACAGTGGCTCTACATTAAACTGAAGGGGTGTGCCATCTGTTGTTAACCGTAAAGCTGCACTTCCTGGTATTGTTGCATTTCCTCCTAGTTGTTGATGTTTTGAAACTCAACTGTGAACTGTGTCGACATTTGTGCCTTTTATCAGAATGCATTTTCAAAGGAAGAAATAACAAATGCAAAACTTTAAAAATGTTTTTGGTAGAGTCTAATCTTTTTAAATTAAGTGGCCAAATATCTATATTTCACATGGGAAACTATTAGAGAGCAATGCCTAAAACGCTCAAATGACCATATAAATACATATTTTTTTTCACCTGGGAAAACAGGTAGTTAAGAGAGGCAGCATCCAGAAGGGGAGTTCCTTCTGGTGTTTTCTGTGGGCTAACCCCTCCTCTCAGTTTACTGATGCAGTGTCTCCAAACTGGAGACTCTCCTTCAGTGGTACCATGCCAGTTTCTGAAATAAAACCTGATAGGGGAGAGAAAGAAAACAAGTCAATACATGTGCATGCAAGAAGGTATGCATGGCGTGGAAAGGCACTCGGTGTACACAGTGGAACAAGATACATGGACCCCAATACTAAACAGTTTTGAAATTATTGCCTGAAAAGAAGAAGGATGTTCTGTCTGTAACAAAGTAAACCTTGAGTTTGCATTGATGGAATTTTGGCCTTTGGTGAAAGAAATACCTGCCAGCAGCGGAATTTCAAAATGAAGAGATGAGCTTAATACATGAGCTTTGTCTGTGTGCACAGAGCAACAATACCACATGATGTGGTCTATTGCCTCCTGCGTTTTATGCAGTGTTTAAAGTGTAGAAATGTCCGCAATATTAGCATGCTAGCACACTAAAATAAGATATCCAACAAGGTAAACATTAGCATGTTGCATTGCCATTGTATGCATATTAGCATGCTTATGATTGCTGTGCCTAAGAACAGCCTCACAGACCTGTCCATACTGGTGGCACTTCCCAGTGTGTGTGTGTTGAACATTTGTTTATGCGTTTGTGTATATCCAGACTTGACCACATACCCTGTGTTGTTTGACAGACTGCACTACAGAAGGCAAAGCAATCTGCAGCAAGAAGCATCTACACACACAGCACACGCTACAGTAAGGCTAAATGCACACTCGCTCTTCTCTCCACAAGCTACTGTCAACGCAGAGCACAGAGAAAGAGGAAGTGCCATTGACACCACAGTTATGTCCCCCCCCCCCCCTCTCTTTGCATGAAATGCTACATAACTTGTCAAATGGAATCTCTGAAGAGGGACTTGATCCTCTTGAAATGAATCCAGTCAGTAACGAATAGGACATTGCTCGTCTGTCTCATAAAATCTTTCCCTCCTGACTTGTAACAATACTTACAAGAATATTCTTTCCCTCAAAACCAGGGTATAATGAGCAAGTTTAGTCTCCTATCGTTGGGCCAAGTATTGAGTTTGACTCTATCCTTGGCTTGTGAAGGTTGTAAGAAGTCAGTCTCACGGCCTTCTATTCCCTTGCTAATTGCATTCCATGCCTTTTCTGAGAGTACATTAATCTATGGCCAATTGTTTAAAACAGCCCACTCTGAAGAGATGCATACTTTACTAAACATTGTTTGAGGGTTTTTCTCTTCTCTTCCTCTTAATAAGCCAAAGTGATAATCAAGATCTAACGAACCTGTTGGTACTTGAAGGATGTTTCTCATCTCAATGAGAAAGGATGTTTCTCAACCCAATGCCATTTGTCATGTAACGATCTTATACGCCCAGAGTTTAAGTACAGCTGATACACAACAAACATCCACAACATTCATCAGTGTTTTCAGATAATGCCCAGGATGTTATGGTGTTATAAAATTGTACATAGTTAAGGGAAATTAACTCCCGATTCCTCTGAACGCTGCACTGGCAAGATTACAACCGTCACATCTTGTAAGATACAACCTTTAAAACGGACAGTTAAGTAAAAATAATCTTTATCTATACAGCACATTTTCTTAACAAGGTTACAAGGTGCAGTTATGACTTTGTTTCACTCATTTCACATCCACAACTATCCCGACAATCCTTTTTTGATGGTATGCTTTCTTGCTCTATAAGAAAACCACTTGAACACACAGGACCTGTGGATTGGTGATGGATGTGGGGGTTTGTGCTTGAGGAGTAGTTAGTCACTGACATCTTACAAATAGAGAAAATATTCTTTTTTTTCCCTTTTCATCCCGGTCCCCAAGAAATCCTCCATCACAGGATTGAATGACTACAGGCCCGTAGTCTGTGGTCATGAAATCCTTTGAGAAACTGGTGTTGACCCATCTGAAGGACATCACAGGGCCCCTGCTGGACCCCCTGCAGTTTGCCTACTGTGCAAACAGGTCGGTGGATGATGCAGTCAGTATGAGACTGCACTAGATGCTGCAACACCTCGACTCCCCAGGGTCATATGCAAGGGTTCTGTTTGTGGACTTCAGTTCAGCGTTCAACACCATCATCCTAGCAATACTCCAACCCAAACTCTCCCAGCTCACTGTGCCAGCCTCCACCTGCCAGTGGATCACTAACTTCCTGACTGACAGGACGCAGCAGGTGAGGCTGGGAAAAATCACATCTAGCACCCGGACTATCAGCACTGGCGCCCCCCAGGGTTGTGTGCTCTCCCCACTGCTTTTCTCCCTCTACACCAACGACTGCACCTCAGAGGACCCAACGGTCAAGCTCCTGAATTTCACAGACGACACAACAGTCATCGGCCTCATCAGGGTCGGTGATGAGTCTGCGTACAGGCGGGAGGTTGAACAGCTGGTCCTCTGGTATAGTCAGAACAACCTGGAGCTAAACAAGCTCAAAACTGTGGAGATGACAGTGGACTTCAGGAGGAGCCCCCCAACACTGCCCCCCCTCACCATACACAACAACACTGTGTCTGCTGTGGAGACCTTCAAGTTTCTGGGATCCACAATCTCCCAGGACCTGAAGTGGGCCTCCAACATCAACACCATCCGGAAAAAGGCACAGCAGAGGTTGTACTTCCTGCGCCAGCTCAGGAAGTTCAACCTGCCTCAGGAGCTGCTGATCCTGTTCTACTCAGCCATCATCCAGTCTGTTC